ACGTGTATTCCGGCTTTTTGAGCCCATAGTTTGATATTTTATAAGTAACGTTTTATAAAAATGTGGGTCAAATATGCATTATGATAGGCAAAAAAAAAAATAACAATTTTCGTTAGCTTTCTGCATTTTAATATTTTTGGGAGTTCACAATACGCCTTATAGCATTGACAGATGGCAACGTTGATTCAGATTAACTCAGCTGTTGACTTGATCAAAATTGTACCCTGACAGACAATTGCGGATCAAGAGAGCCGCGAGAACGTGGGTACAAATCTAACGGCAAAAAAGTTGTGTTTATAGTCGTATTTTTTAGGTCCTTTAATCATTTCCTTAGGCATTAAAATTACAAAAAATGTAGGTCATTTAAAAAGGCCGTGTGGAAGCAGACACGATGGCTATTTTTACAATTGTAATGGCACGAGTTTTGTTTAATGCCCGACATTGTCATTAAAAAGTCTATCATTGAATGACTAGTGGAAATTCAGCGTTATTTTTTTTTATGTAATTATTAGGGGTTTCGATTATTTGCCTTTTACCCAAACCCGGTTTTCGAGTTATTCGAAAAATTACAATTTAAGAAACCGGTTTCCAATTTTCCAATTAAGAAACCCGGTTTTATTTTACTTAATTCTCTTACAAAGAATGATATCTATTATATATAATACGCGAAAGCATTTTTTGTGCAGCCTAAAACATCTGCACCGTTCGCTCGATTTTAAAAATTGGGGTGTCAAATTAAGGCGCTTGGCCTGTAGATGTGCAATAAGGTTTTATTTTTTCGAAAAGAGTTGCCACCTGTTAAATAATTAAACTCAAGTTACTAATCAATGCCCTCAGATCCGCACCGTCCGTTTGATTTTCAAAAGTGAGGTACCAAATTAAAGGACTTAGGGTGTGGATGTTCAAGAAGGTTTTACTTTTTCGAAAAAAGTTGCCACCTGTTAAGAAATTAAGCTCAAATTAATTAAAAAGTTAAATCACTTATTAATTATGGGTATCAATCGAAATAGTTTTGAAAAGACTTTATAACTTAACTACGTATAGGAAGGTTGCCACATGTTAAAAAAATGTAATTCAATTTAAGTTAAAGGAATTTATGGGAATATGGGTGTCATACAAAAGAGGTTTACGAAGGTAGTAGTTTGAAAATATTTTGAATAGGGTTGCCGCCTATTTGAGAAGTCTAATTGAACTATTTTATATTCAAGTTATATGAATTATTAACTAGGGATGTCAAATGAAAGAGCGAGAAATACTTCGTTTGACAATTTAGAACATTTTTGATGTGTTTGAGGGCTGCCCTGTTTAAAGGGCTAAACTAAAATTTTTTATTAAGTTAAATGAATTACTAACCAATGGTTATCAGTGGAAATGGGTTTAAAATCCTTTATATAAGAACAATACTTAGGAGGGTTGCCATGTGTTAAAAAAATGAATTTCCACCTAATTCATCAGTTGAAATATTTATAACAATGTCAGACGAAAAATATTTAAGAAAATTTTAGTTCGAAAATAATTTTTAAGAGGGTTGCCGCCTGTTTTGAAAGTGGTATTTCGTTTAATTATACATAAGTTACATGAAATTTTAAAATATGGTTATCAAAAGAACGAGTGATAAGAAATCTTTCAATTGAATTTTTTTTTTTTTTTTGTTGAAAAAATTAAGCTCAAATTATTTAATAAGTTAAATAGATTGTCAAAGGATGGGTTCAATCGAAATGGGTTTGAAAATAGTTTATTTCTAAACTGTATTTACGAGAGTTGCCTTTGTACTTAAAAAATTAAATTCAACTTAATTCATCAGTTAATTGAAATATGTATAACAATGCCAGGCGAAAGATTTTAGTTTGAAAATACCTTTAAAGAGGTTGCCACCTGTTTGAAAAGTCGAATTTGTTTTACTTATACGAAAGATAGTACATAGATGAATTATCGAAATATTAGCGTCAAACGAAAGAGTTTAAAGAAAGCTATAGGCTGATAATATTTTTAATTAGAGTTGCAACTATTTTTTTTTGAAGGTCATCACATCTGCGCCGTTATTTCGAATTTCCAAAATGTGAGTTCAAATTAAAGAACTGGGATTCTACATATATGTCCACAGGTTTTATCTTTTGAAGTTACAGGGAGATTTGAAATTTGATAAAATGAAAACCTCTCATCACTGAGAAATGGTTTATATTAATCATAAGGAATATTTTTATATGTTTTTGAATAGGGTTTCACCTGTTTAAAAAATTTAATTAAATATTGGCGTTATGACGCCATGCGGGTTCACTAGTAATACAAGATTGCGCATTCCTGCGAGTAATGACGTCATGATCGCAACGAATAGGGGAGATGAAGGAGAGAAAAAATAGCGGCGGCCCCATTTGTAGGAAAATCGTAGGTGTGTTCCTCTACTTTGGAGATTGAATAAAAATTAAATATTACACCCAGAAAGAGCGAAATAAAGAGGAACAAAACAACACTAAGCTTGTTGAAATTAGTGACGCGAATTCTTATAAAATTGTTTCTGCAAAAGGTTTATTAGCAAAAACTAGTGATGACATCACACGAGCAGCTATTTCTGTCAAATTCGCTAAGAACAAAGTAGCGGTATTGCTGAATGCGCCACCGCTGTCCCTCTACATCATATTTTCTTACAGTGAAATGCTTATTTATGAATGAAACCATGACCAAAAATTACAGTAAAGCTTTTAGCAATAAAGATAGCTTTTATATAGAAAAGAGCAAAGCAAAATAAGTTCAAAGTTTTTTTTTTAGATCAAAAGCTCTTGCCGCCATAGCTAAGTGTTTAGGTCTACCTCCACCCACTCGGAAGGCCCATTATTCAATTGCTGATCGCAACAACATAAAAAAGTTTTTTTTTTTTTTCAAATAGCGCTCGGCAGACGATGGCAAACCTCGTAAGTGTACTTCTGCCATAAAGAAAAAACTTTTTTGGAGGTGGAGTCTAAGAGTGGAGATCTCCATTTGTGACACAACTACAAGAATCAGAGCTCGAATTGGAGGAAATGCTGGGTCAAACACGTGGAAAACGTTTATGCGCCAAGCATTCATTTATTGGAATTAAATATGATGTATTGTTCAACAAAAAATAAACTATAACATAAGTTTAGAGCTATTTAGTGGTTTCCCTTAAACTGAAAAAAGGCTTGAAAACTTCCAAAAACTCAAAGTTTTCATTGAGAAGTCAAGTTTTGTATGAAGTGAAAAAGCCGGTTTATTCTATAAAAAAAAAAATCCGGTATATTCGATATTCGAAAAATCAAGTTAAAAAAACCCTGCCTATAGATAGCCAAAGAAAACCGTTGGAAACCGGGTTGGAAAAACCGAGTCTATCACCCTATTAATTATAGTTGTTGTGGACTTAATTATCGAGCTTCAAAATCTTCTTGTGTACTTCGAAATGTAAAATTTATAACAAAAAGAAGAAAATTAAATGCTCCTGCTCTTGTTATAGATTAAGCTTAAGAGTAATTCTTAAGTGAAGAGTGAATTCCCATTTTTTACATTTCGCTTGAATCCGTGGAATCCGAGTATATTATAATGAATCATAAAGCATTCTAGTTTATCGCAGTTATCGTATTTATATATTTACATATGTGACTAATATTAAGTTTAACTTTTGTATGTTTAAATACATGTATGTTTTTATGTACATATGTACTCACTTTTAGAATGCCATTTAAAACAACTTCGTTTACATATTTAGTTCATCATTCATCGCTTTAAATTTTGGTGTGTTAAAAACAAAAACATTATATAAAAAAAAAATCATCATTCTACTCCACTCATACTTCACTCTGTCTAGGTAAGCAACTTTAATAAAATTATATTAATGAACACCGTTTTATGCTTTTTTCTCTCTTTCCAATTGCAGCTAACGCCCAATGCCAACAACCCAACGGTACCCAGCCCAGCTCTAGCTCCTGTGATGCCTATATCGAATGTAAGAATGGTGTCGCTGAGGAGAAACTCTGCCCCGACGGTCTACTGTACAATCCCAATTCTTCCGGCTATCCTTGTGGCTACCCCATCGAAGTAGAGTGTCCACAAGCACGTACACAACCCGCTCAAGCCACCGATGAATGTCCACACCAGTTCGGTTACTATGGCATGGGTGACTCTCGCAATTGTGGTAAATTCAAGAATTGTGCCTCCGGACGTGGCTTCGTTTTGGACTGTCCCGATGGTTTGGCATGGAACAAGGACACTTATAAATGTGATTGGCCCGATCAAGTGCCCGATTGTGATGCCGAAGCTTTCCTCGGCTTTAAGTGTCCACCACCAAAACCATCGCCCAAAGGGCAATTCATTGGTGAACCCGAACAGGAGTATGATTTCTATCCATCCAGCGATAATTGTCAGGTGTACTTTATCTGTATAGAGGGTCGTCCACGTCGTATTGCTTGTGATGAAGCTAGTGCCTTCAATCAGGAAACGAAAAGCTGTGATGACATTGATAATGTGCCGAATTGCAGTCCTGACATCAAACAGCGAGGACAGGATATCAAGAATGCGCGTCTATCAGCGCAGAAGACGGCGGCAGCTGCAAAGCGAAGATTTTAGAAAATATTAATTCAATTTGTACTTTAAAATTGTTTTTTTTTTGTTTGTTGTAATGCTCTAGTCCACAGTGAAAAACAAGAAGATTTATTTTGGCCTTTTTGTATGTATGTATGTATATTCTTGACAATAAAATCGACTTGAAAAAGGATCGAAAGCTTTGCAAAATTTTTAAAAGTTTCTTAACATCGATAAGGAAAACATCGAACATAGGATTATTTTTTTGTTTGGTGGTTGTATGTCAAAACTTCCGTATTTCCAGTTGGAAGTAAATTTATTAGTACCTCCAATGTTCTGGGTTTGTATTACGCTCGTATGTTTATTTAAAAAAAATTTGATATTCAAATAGTTAGATAACTTGTTATTTACTTTCGAAATCCCTTTTCATATTTTTCTTCGTTTTGCTTAATTTCATTTTGAACAAATAGCCCATTGCGCTCTCCGCAGTTGTCCCGAACCGGATGGTCGCTTCGCAGATGATGAGCAGTGTGACGGCTATCTCGAATGCAGAGAAGATGTTGGCGAAGAGAAGCTTTGTCCCGATGGTCTACTCTTCAATCAACGTACCAAAACAACTGGCGAATGCACATATTTGCCCTTCACAACATGCAAGCAACGCACGCGTTTGCAACCAGCCAATGGCACCGCTGATTGTCCACGCCAATTCGGTTTTTACTCGTCAGGTGATCCAAAAAATTGCGGTGTCTATAGAAATTGTGCTCACGGCGTGGCTACAGTCACCAAATGTCCCGAAGGCTTGGCTTTCAATGTTGAATCCTATCAGTGCGACTGGCCTGATCAAGTTGCGGAATGTGATGCAGAAGGCTTCCTTGGTTTTACTTGCCCACCCACAGATACTGTCGATGGGGAAGATAAAGAAGTGGATGTAAACCCCGATGGGGAACTACGCTATTTCCGTCACCCAAAAACGTGTAAGAAATACTTCGTCTGCGTTAATGGTCATCCTCGTTTGTACAACTGTGGCAAGTATTTGGCTTTCAATGTCGAAACGAAGTCGTGTGACTTTTACACACATGTACCGGAGTGTTATGCGCTTTTGAAGGAGAAGAAACTGGCAGCGGCCGCCGCCAGAGAGGCCTAATGTGTAATGTGTAGTTTTTTTTTTTTTTTTGGTGGTAGTCGGGATACGTACCACATCGTGTTTACATCTATGTATTTTCCATTGTTTTAAAGCTTTTTTTTTAACTGAACTAATAATAAATATTTAAATATATATGCTTTCGTTTCATTTTGAACATATTTTTGTAGCAATATGCGTTGGTAAGTTTAAGAATTAAGTATGAAGTTTTTGGTGTTTTTGTTCTAAAATTGTTGCGGTCAGCAACTTTGTAGCGAAATATTTGCATCCAGCAACGTTATAGAGAAACATGTATCCAGTACCATTGTAGCCAAACATTTCTATCCAGCAACATTGTAGCCAAATATTTGTATCGAGCAACATTGTCGCTAACATTTGTATTCAGCTACATTGTAGCTAAACATTTGTGTTCTCCAACATTGCAGCTAAACAGTTGTATCTATCAACATTGTAGCGAAATATTTGTATCCAGCAACATTGTAGCGAAACATTTGTGTCCAGCAACATCGTAGCGAAACATTGGTATCCACCAACATTGTAGCTAAACATTTGTATTCAGCAACATTGTAGCGAAACATTTGTATCCAGCAACATTGCCGCGAAACATTTGCACAGAGCAACATTGCAGCAAAGCATTTGTACCCAGAAATATTGTAGCGAAACATTTGTATCCAGCAACATTGTAGCGAAACATTTGCATTCAGCAACATTGTAGCGAAACATGTATCCAGCAACATTGTAGCGAAACATTTGTATCCAGCAACATTGCCGCGGAACATTTGCAAAGAGCAACATTGCAGCGAAACATTTGCATTCAGCAACATTGTAGCGAAACATGTATCCAGTAACATTGTAGCTAAATATTGTAGCGAAACATTTGTATCCAGCAACATTGTAGCGAAACATTTGCATCCAGCAACATTGTAGCGAAACATGTATAAAGTAACATTGTAGCGAAACATTTGTATCCAGCAACATTACAGCGAAGCATTTGTATCCAGAAATATTGTAGCGAAACATTTGCATCTATCAACATTGCTGCGAAACATTTGAATCCAGCAACATTGTACCGAAACACTTGCATCCAGCAACGTTGTAGCGAAACATTTGAATCCAGCAACATTGTAGCAACATTTTTAGGCGTGCACAAATCATTTAACATTCGTTAAAATTGGTTCGGATTTGGATTTGGATTTGGTTCTATAGCGTATCTTTTTGCAGCTCACATTTAAATGATTAATAAACATTGCTGAAACTCGATTGGAGGCACATATAAACAATTTGAGTGCAGCCACCCTCAGTTAAAAACATTTTTGCATTTTTAGCTTTGCAAGCGACCCAGCTCAATGCACCAGGCACCCATAAAGCAGGAGTAGGACGACAGAAATTTTGCGGCGGAAATGGACTACGCCTAAATGTATACGCCATAGAGTATGTACATCCGACGCGTCGGTATGCGGAAATTGCTACACAGAGTGACACAAATAACTAGCAATTGATTTGTGGTAAAATAAAACCCGGTCATTTTTTTCTACTTTTTTCAAATTAATTGGAATTTAGAATTTGCAGCTTTTTTAGCCCCTTAAATTTTATCTAGTATAATTTAGTGAAAGCTTCAAGTAGCTACATAGCTAATTTAGGGGAAAAAATACGCGAACTTTGGATTGATAACTTTTTCTGTACTTGTGTTGAAATAAAACGCAATAATTTTTTCGACAATTTGTGTATTTATTTGTTTGTATTATTTTTTAAGTCAATTGCATTTTATTGCTAATTTATTAGATCTTTATATATTTTAATCTTAAATTGTGTATGTTTGTAGGCATGACGCACACATGCCAAATTTATTCACCACTTCACACAGCATACATTGGAAATTTATTATAATTACGACTAACTAAAATAAGAAAAATAAAGTAGATTGGCAAATACTAAACAATAGTTATGTATTTAGTTCGTAATAAACACAAAAATATTTATAATTAGTTGGCTTTACAAAAAAAAAAAACTACTTACAATTATGAATGGAAGAAAAAGATGCACAATTTTTTTTTTTGTGTTTATAATCTGTTGGAACGAACATCTGGAAAACTAAGTCGGTAATGAGGAAATTGTTTTTTGCTTAAAACTCAATAGGGGCATTCTCTGAGACTTGCAAAGCCCTTGCGCGGTGCACAAGTTGCGCGGTAAAAACCGATTTTCATATGGGACAGCTTTGCAAACCGTGCAAGAGCTTTGTAAGGCTCAGAGAATACCCCTAATGTAAGTATGTATGTAAAACAAATTTACTTGCCCATTTACGTAAACACTTGGATTTTTTTTTTTTATATTTGTTTAGTTAATGATCTTAGCTAAAATATGAGTTTCTTTACATTCAGTTCTTCTTTTTAGTTTTACTTGAATGCTAAAAAAAAAACTATTTTCTTCCGTTTTCTTGAAATTCTATGCATAAGCGTAATAATATTTTACTTAAAAGTACACAACGCATTTGAGAGTGTCACAAAGGATAAAATTACTTTAAAGAACTCGAAATTTGATACTGAGTCAGAAGAAATTCTTCAACTTTTGAAAAAAAAAATTAAATTTAAATTATTTTCTTGGCCTCCAGCAAGTGATTTCATATAAATGTATTAGGAAATTTCAAAACTGTTCAAAATTCAGGTGATTTCATTAAACGCGATAATTTGGAAACCCGAAAGTATTTTTAAAGACTCATTAAAAGGAAATGCAAATGCAATGAAATACATATGGATATAAAACTCTTGGATGTATGTATATATTCATACATATGCATATACTACACATCAGCCCTGGGCAGCGTCCGCCCAGCGCGCGTATTCGCGTATACATACACGCCCTGCTTGAGAAGGTAGCGAAAGCTTCATTCAAGTGCACGACTTGTTCGCACGCACACAGTGACATCAATTGCACGTACATTACCAAAATGCTCTGCCGTGGCTGCCCACCGCTGTTATATACATATACTGAACTTTTTTTTATATAAATTGTTTGCTTTTATTGAGAGCTGAATTCTAAGCTCAAACAAGGAATTTTTCTGGAAACACCTTTTTATAAAGAAAATTCAATCAAATTCAGTTTATCTGAACGAGGCTATTAAAATATGTATGTATGTACGTAAATTTTTTTAAGGACGTCTAAAGATAAGAAATTCGTTCCATGAAAATTCGGTGTCGTAAGCGTTTTACAAATAAATATTTAGTATCACTAATTTCAATATGAACTTATACTATAAATAAAAAATACATACATAGATCAAATCACTTTGCTGGAACACACAAAATACCTACTCAATAACTGAATACTAGGAAGAAAAAAAATATTTAATACCAATGTCCATTTTAGAGACAATTCTATAGCATACAAAATTTGCAAATTTTACGCTTATTATACTTAGAAATCAATTTTACTGTTATTTTTATACATATTACTTGAATGAGGCCGCTAGAATAACTACTCTTAGCTTCAATTCCGCTTAAATACATAAATACATATTTTTTTCAGTACATACATATGTACATACGTATTTATGCACATATTTTGCATGTGTATTTTAATTTTGACTTACATATGTGCATATGTAATTCCTCAATTGAATTTGAATTTTTCTTTCATCTAAGGCACTTTATTCAATTACACACAAATTCTTTTTTATTTTCACGTTTTTAATTATTTTTTGCTTCGACATCATTTAAAATGTGTGTTCATACTCTACGATTTTATGTCAATTTGGTTTTATTTTTTTCGCGCTATCGATTCGCAATGAATTGAAATATATATCATTTAAAATGTACCTTTAAGTATTACCGTTTTGCAATGCAATTTTATTACAATTACATTATTTATGAATCTAATATGTAGCTGTTTATTAATTTTTTGCATACTTAACATTATTTTTTTTCGCCGCCCTGCTTTGCTACTTTTAATTTTTTGTTTGTTTATTAACTTTGCTTGGCACCAGCCATTTACCGCTTATTTATTTTTACTTTTAATTTGCAGCGCAGTTTGCCTTAATTCTTTCGCATTTAATTTGCGATAAGTCAGTATTATATATAGCTGTATACTTACTTATTTATGTAAGCATTGGCATTTTTACTGTACCAGCAGCTCAACTGCTAAACATTTTCTGCTTTAGTCTTTTCGTATTTATTTATTTTTTTTTATTACCAAAATTTATATTGACTATACAAATATTTTGATAATATTTCTATGTCGCTTTTTCATCATACAAACGGTTTTACATTATTCTATTTGATGGCTTCTTTGTTTTAAAGCGAACGAATATCAATCACTTTTTATAATAGAAAATTCAATGAAAAATTCAATTAAGGTTAATTTTATTTAAATAAAAAAAGAACGTTTTTTATTAATTCAAATCAGTTTAGATTTATTTATCTGTTTTTTTTTTATTAAATTCGATTTTATTTAAATTTATGTACATATGTACTTTTCAAATATTTCTTTTAATTAAATTTGTTTCCGTTTTTCATTATGTTATTTTAATATATTTTAATTTTAATGAGACTTCATCATTTTAACTTAAGTTACTTTATTTGACTTTACTGTTCTTAATATTCTATTTTATTTTATTCTGCGTCATTAATTTTTATATTTTTACTTTGTCTTCAACTTTTTATTTGCTTTTTGCCTATTTTAAACGTTTTTCATTTTTGTATACTTTCGCTTGCCCTTTTATAACGAAAAAAAATAAAAATTTAATTTACTTATTCCCAAGTTGTTTTTATAGTCATAAATTAGAGTAGTTTTTTATATTTGTGGATTTTGTTAAATTCTAAAAACTGGAAAGCTCGAAACTCAAAATATATTGAAAGTTTAATAAAAGGATTCGGGGTTTCCGAACTTTTTCACTAGCTTCCATTTTAAAATTACAGTGAGCATATAATCATTAGGAATTTTAAAATATGTAAATGCTTACACTTATGGCAGGAAGTTGGCGATTTGGCCTAGCATGGGTTAAAGAAATTTTCATACAAAAATTTTCTGAAGAGAATGCTTTAAGTTTTGTAAAGGTAAAAATAGTCTATAAGAAAATCAGGCAGATTCTGCAATTCATTTACGAGTGAATTTCAATCCCTTTCAATGTGAATTCAAAGTGACTTTGCTTGAAATCAACCAGAAGTGAATTGCAGAATCTCCCTGAATACTAAAATACTCTGAATGATTTGCTAGTTAATTTTCGGTATATTTTTTTTTTTTTTTAAATAATAAAGCATAACAGTTTCTTTTGACTATCGAATTTTCGTTGTCGAAATTTTTACACAATTAGGAGATTTCCTTGAACTCAAAAAACTAGCATGTTTGAAAGTGTGCTTCAAAGTTCAGGCAAAGTTCCGAGGCTTGAGGATTTTTTTTTCCAGTTAAAAGAAAAGCCACTTATACATACATATCGCTAGCGTAGAGTGAACATTTCCTAAGTCCAGTTTTTCAAATTCTACAGGAGAGAGTAAAAAGTATTGAATACGTTTTTTCAAGCAGTTATTTTCAAAAAAGTTTAACTTATGAAATTCCATATTCATAGCCTGAACAACCTTATATATGAATCAAATTCTACAACGTTAATTAAAACTTTTGTATTTTTTGGGACATCAAATTTTCAATTTTGGACTCTGCAAATTTGCGCATCACTAAATAGAAACGATTAGAAATAAATCAAGTACTTCGATATTTTAGCCAGCGATAAGTATTTTGCATTTTGAGATGAAAAAATAAACAGTCCAGGGCTAGATATAAACTATGTATGTATGTATGTATGTATATTGTGCTAAATAATAGTATATGTGGCCGAGCGAAATGGTTTGATGTTTGGATAAGTGAAAAATTTTTACCATGATAGAAAAAATTATAATTTGAGCGTTCGTACAAAAATGTTATGTATGCATGTATATCAAAAAAAATATATGTATATATTTTAATTGAAATTATTTCGTTAACTGATTTTCACAAAAATGGGTTTTTTTCTATTTTTCGGCAGCAAAATTGAATTTAATTTCTATGCGCTGTGCTTTTATAAAAATGCTTTCATTTTGAATTTTCTCCGAAATAAAAATATTTCGATAGGAAAATTTAAAAAATACTGTTATATTTTCAAGAAGCTAATATCAAATACCTTGGTTTCCCATTGCGCCGGTTTGTAGCAAGATTTTTTTCTTTACGTTTCCCTATTTTTTGTAGTCTGTGTGTAGTTTGCGTAGAGTGTTTGTAAGTCTTTTCAACTACTAAATTACTTAGTTTTCTCGATTCATGTTGGGTTTCTTCTTGTTTATCAAAACTCATGCTACTAAAGCTATATGCCAATAGCAATTATACAAAGCTTTATTAAGTTGCTGAAGTATATGCATGTACATACATAATTCAGCCTATATTATTTATGCAGGCATTTTTATGCTCTAGCTGAATTTCAATTGGCTTGAGCCATTTTTAAGTTTCTATTACTTTTGAGTTCATTCTTTTTTTTTATTAATTTGTTTAGTGCCTTTTTCACATTCGAATCTTATTAGTCAAATATATGCTATTGGTTTTTCTACTACCAGCTATTTTTATGTGCAGTACTTATCTATTATGTAAACAGATTACTCACTACATATACACGTTTTTCTCTATACCATACAAATACTTTTCTTATAATTAGTAGTCAAATGTTTCTTTTTCATACAACTTAGTGACTATCTATTATGCAAAAACGTTTGAATGCACTAATATCTTTAATTTTATAATTACTAAAGTTCAAATATCACGGTTCTTACGCTTACAAGAGGCTAAGATGTATAATAAAATATTTTTATTAAGTTGGAATTGGGTTAAAATAATTACGGAGACTTTTTAAAATAAATAGGAAAAATATATAAGGAGAAAAAAGTGCCGAAGGCTTCAACGATCTTGAGACTTTTACTGGATTGCCACAGATATGTATACATATGTATGTATTCATCTCCTTGGAACTTTAAAAGGACTTCTCAATCTCAGGAATCAGGCCTGTAAGCATACGTTTCCTGGAGCTTCCGTTAATTGATGTATCTTTGTGGATACATACTTATGTACATAATATTGTTGTCATCATCAATTCAAAACACCCTAATCGAGATTTTTTAAGAAATGTAGTTTTTTAGATATTCCGCCACTTGGCTCTCATAAAAAATTTTCAAATAGGCTTTTTGTTGTGATGGTGACGATATATGTATGCAAGCAATTCTATTAAAAAAATTTAATTAAGGTCAATGTACGTCAAAGTTTGAAAAGAAAAAGCTCTGTAGGCTTAGCTTGAAAGGTTGAAGGTTAGCAACATAGGAACGCAAGAAAAATACAACTACTTTAGGTTAAGTTTTAGATGACAAAACAAAAAACAAAGCAAGAAAATCGTTAAGAGCTAAAACTAACATAACAATTAAGCATAAACACTAAAAAAACTATAAATTAAAAATATGCGCATATTTTAGAAAATATGTAGCTTTGTAAGTGCGTGTGTGCTGTGTATACACTTTAAGTGATTTATACGTTCTTTTAACTTTTTAAAAGTAAAATATTTCTATATTTTTCGTGTGACTATTCCGCGCTTAAGTTGTTTTCTGAAGTAAAATGCATACATTTTTTGCAATATTTTTCGTCTATTATACTACTATTTAATTAGTCATACAAAAATATCTAAATTGTTTTTCACATTTTTGTTTAATGTTTTTTTTTTCGATTTGTAATTTTTTATTTTGGGTTTATTTTACTTCGTAAGTGCTTGGGCGTTTTAAAAATAAATATGTATATATATTTTTTTTTCGTTATTTTTAATAAACTGCTGTTGCACATGCACATACACATCTACATACAGTTTTGTTTAAATAATACAAGCAACTTTTTAAGTCTTGAAATAATAATTATATGACAGTAATAAACGCATACTGCCGCAATCTAACATCATACAAATCTTTTTATACAACACTAAATTGCAGGAAAAACGGCATTATATGTAAATGCCAATATACGTCCCTTTTGTGACACACTTTTATTCATATTTTTAATATACAAAAATATTTACGCGTTTTTTTTGTTTCAATTTATACAAAAAAAAAACAATCAAAATTGAAATAGTACTATAAAACATGTTTACAATGCGTTGGCTCGAATCGACGCTTCAAATTGATATTTTACTTATCGTAATTTACTATGAATTATGCTGGCAAATATCTAATTGTAGGTATATAACTTTTTTACATCATCGTTAATGTTGCGCTTTCAACGCTGTTCGTCGCTCAAAAAAATAGTATCTTGAATTGTAGTAGTAGTCTTTTAATTCCATTCTTATTAGAGCCTAAAAAAGTTTTTCAACTTTTTTGCCAATTTATTAGTTACTATACGATGCATCCCTGTCGCACACCATACATTATCTTCAATTCCGGATAAATGATTTTGCGTATAAGTTGATTCGTTTTACCCGCCAACATGGCACGTCGATTATCTTTTTGTAGTATTTTGATGCCTGGTTTGTGCACAAGGAAGGCATTATCTAAAATATGGAATTCGTAGTCTAGTACGCAGAGCGCATAGCCCTAAAAAGAAAACAAAGAAATTATTATTTGCCTAATAATAAATTTTTTGTACTTTTATCTATGAAATAATCCCGTATTTTTAAGTTTATAAGCCTATTTTAAAGCTCCTTTATTTTTTATGAATAAGGCTAATTGTATGTATGGGTTGCATAATTATAAAACCGCCACATATTAACAAGTATTGACTATTTATTTTTATTTTATTTAATTTGAATTCGGTTAGGTTAAACTGGCAGGCCGAAGCCACGCAGAGACAAGTAGGTCCACAGCGATGCCTTTAATTTCAATTATTTTTATTTACAAATAAAGTCCTTTCTTTAACAAACACCATACAAATCCGCTCTTCAAACTTTCTGCAAAAATAATAAAAATTCACCGAATTTTCACAATTTTACACCCTTTTTAAAGAATTTTTGGAAAAGTTTTGCGCATGCAGTTTTATAGCTCATTCAATTTGAGTATAATATAAAAATAATAAGTCAAAATTTGTTAATATGTGGCGGTCTTATAACTATGCAACGTAGTGTATGAAACCTCTTACTCACCTGCGTCATTTTATCACTTTTACCCTCCCAACTCAGTCGTTCATCATAGTGAGGGTCCGCATGCGTACCAATGTAGATAGGTTCCCAATGCCGGAAATATCCAGTACGCTTGCCTATATGGAAGACACTAAGTTCCTCCGTTTCGTTGGCGGCCATCCATTCTTTGGACTGTGGCACGCCATGACAACTGGCACAGACACGCTTATGAAAAGGTATCGCTTTGCCACTGCGCAAGTACTCCTGCAATTCGGTTTTGTCGCGTGGCACGGTCACATTGGCTTCCACCTCAAAAATGGAGAGCGGAAAGACTCTGCAAATGAGAATAAAGTGGCACATTCAATTTTAAAAAATTATCAAAATGCATATACATACATATGTATATTCATTTTGTTACCCACCTTGGCGCTTTGCGTTGCAGATACGCTTCATTCCGTGCAATCATCTCCAGGAATTTTTTCACTAGCCCTGGATTTGGATACAACTCAATATCCGATGCTAGTATAAAGTGCGTTAAGGCAGCATCGCGCGCTATATTTCGACCAACATTCACTGGATACAATAGCTTCTTTTGTGACTTATATAAATGCCCGGAGCTAACATTGAAATAGGGTGGTGGCAGCGTGCAGTTGTAGGGCGTCTTCAGCACTTCCGATTGCTTCACTACCTGCTTGGGTATGTGTTTTGTGCTAAAGTAGAGATGAAATGTGGTCAGACCGCGTACTAAGTGACTCCCAGGCAGACAATTACGCAAGTACTTAATGGCATCAATAGTTGGCTGATAATCAGTACCAGGTGTGTGCATGGCAATGCTAACGGGCGCATTCCAACTAAAAGTTATATAAGAATTTTTTATGAATATTTACACAACTTTCACTAGATGCTTACCGCTCCAACAGTGGTATGAGATTATCTAAAAACGTGTAATCCGCATGCGTTGTATACGTAATTGATTCGGTACACTTCATCGCGCCATGATCGGCGCGCACGTAATTTTTGAGCACCCAGAAGTCACCGCGCTGTAAAATCTCCGGTTTGTAGTCACGTTCGTAACAGTTTAAAAGTGTTTCCAGCCGTTCATATAAGTCTTTTTCATCACCGGTAACAATATAGGCATCGTTAGCGGTAGCATTTACAAACCCAGCTGACTCGGCAGTCCCACTGACAGCGGCAGCAGCGCCATTATTCCCTACTACCGCCGGCACAGCCGGCGAGTCTGCGGCGCCAGCTGTGTGATTTTGTGCAAGTGGTGCGGCAATATCCCCAGGAGCAGCAGGTACCGACGCAGTACCACCAGAAACGTTGGCCCACGGCGGCGGCGCTTGCAGGTCATTGGATATGAGTGGAGGGGGCGGAGGTGGCTGCAGCTTGTCTGCGACAAGTTGGTCCTGTAATAAAAATTAGTAAGTATTAATGTTCATATATATGATAAAGCATAACTTTTTATAAACATAAATCTCTTACGCTATTCGCTAATTGCGTTGGATCTAATCCTCGCTCCTGTATAAAAAATGTATTACTGCCAGTAAAACCGCTGCCATTGCCAATCATGACATGACTGCATATGTATAGGATGACAACAATATTGATGAGTATGCTACATCGGAGCAGCCAATTGCGCCGCGTGAACATTTTCTGGCCTAAAGGTTCGAAACGCACCATTTGGATTTTAGGTACGGCAGTGGAGGACTAGAAGTTACGTTGTTTCTGGAAGGAAGCAGGTGTTGAAAAGCTTGCAATCGTCTCTTCGAAGAATGGGGAAGAGGCTTCCCAACACTAGTCTTCGACGGCAGAATTATATTGGGTGAGAGCATTAACTACAAAGTACACCTGCAAAAAACAAAACAAAAGCAAATTGTTAGAGTAAAATATAAAAAAAAAACGTATGTTAAATAGAAGAGCTCTATTTCTGTTTTGGGCGTTTCCCGCAATTTCCACATAAACACTCAGCTAATCAACGGCATAGGAAATAATATTTGTATCATGAGTGTAAGCAATCGTTTATTAAAATGTATAAGCAAAGTTTATACTGTTAAAATACATACATATGTGGTAACAATTTTAATTCAAACTTTTTTAAACTACTTTTTCTTGAAGAAATTCATTATATTTCCCTGCTTCGTCTTAGCAGCCGCCGTAGGAGTTTGCTTTGGTTTACTCCCTTTGGGATCCGCTTTTGTTGGCGTTTTCTGTCGTGTAGTTGCTGGTCCGTTCGATTTCGAGTGCGATTTCTTCGACTTAACAGTTATAACAAAGCCGTCTTCATCCAAATATGTTTCCGATTTTGGAGGCGAGTCTCCTATCTCAGCTACAGCGGATTCCTCAAGTTTTCCTTGCTTTTGCTTTGGCTCTTCCTCTTCTTCATCTTCCTCCTCATCATCCGAGTCCTCGATGCGCAGACGTTTGCGGCTGCTAGTCGCAGCTTCTTTCTTGTCGGCATCTTCTACTTTGCGCCTCAGCTTATTCAGTTCTTCTTCCTCGTCAGAAGATTCAACTTGCACTTCAACTACCTTCTTTTTATTTCCCAATTTTTCCTCGATTTTCTCTTTTTCCTCCTCGTCTTCTGAGAATAGTTGCATGGAACTATTGGCTTTTTTCTCTTTTTGCTCCAACTTCTCTTTAGTACCAGCAGGCTTCTCGAATTGCTTTTTGAAGAAGTCATTCACTTTCTTTGGAGATTTTTGGCGGCTGGCATCAGACGCGGGCTTATTAGAAGTGTCAGCTGCGTCTTTACTCTTTGGCGCGAAGAAGTTTCCAATTCCTTTTTGGCCATTGGCAGCTGCTGCAGCCGCTTTTTTGTCTTTAGGAGACACCTTTTTCTGGTCGGCGGATTTTTGTGGCGTTTTCTTAGTAGCATCTTCTTCAGTTGTAGTTTTGGTTTTGGTACTTTGTGTTGAGACCTTCTTGTCTATTGCCGCAGCCTTTGAGTTACCGGAACCAGCTTCCTTTTTTACTTTAGCACTGGTGGCATCAGAATTATCGTTGCTCTTGGTTTTGGTAAAAGCGCCTGTAAGGCCTTTAGCTGGCTTTATCTCCGGTTTAATTTCCACTTTTACTGCAGCATTAGTATCATTCGACTTTTCTAATGTGTCATTGTGTTGCTTATTTTCTTTCTTACGAGGTTGTAAGTCCTCTAATTTAACAGCGAACCATGTTACAGGTTTTAGATCCTCCGCTGGTGCCTTTGCGCCACCTTCAACCTCAACCGAATACAGTGCAGACTCGGCGCCCTTCAACTTATTTAGCCACTCCTCCAAATTAACTTCCCCCTTCACAATTTTAAACACTTCTTTGCTTGAATCATCCGCTTCCGTACCATGTATAACAAAACGCTTCTCATATTTGACGCCTTCCTTCTCCTGCTGCTTCAAATATTCCTCAAGTGTACGACTCACTTCTTCAAGTGGCAAATGATATTCATTTATTAAGTCAGTTAATAATACACGACTATCAAAATTAATTACGCAGTCGTTTAATGCTTCCATTAGTTTAGCAGCGCACATGTTCTTTTTTAATTGTAATAGTTGAAATGAGTCAAATTCAGCTGCGAAAACAAATTAAAAATCCGCGGAAACATCCAATTTTCTTGTAGCGCTCGTTCACAATGAATTTCACAACAGCGCAGCAGCTGTCAAAATGTAATGTGGACTTTGTCACATGTGGATGCCGTAAGCAAAGTATGCGGTGTGGATGTGCTCATGGGAAAAATGTAATAAACTTTCAAAGCAATTTATGTATGTACGTTGCAATTATGTTACTATATCGTTGCAGAACCAAATAAATTTGAGAATGCCATTAAATATGTATGCATGTATATCAAAACGAAATGAAAGAACGAAAAGATAATCAGGAGTTAAATAAAATATCATAAAAAAATAAATAATATATGCTATAATAAAAAAATATATGTACTAATGTAAAGTAACATTATACCTACACAATGAGCAAAAGAAGGTTAAACAACACGAAATTAAGATGAATAAAATAAAATAAAATTATACCAAATAACAAAATAAGAGAAAACCCGAAAATTTTTATAAATTTATGCACAAAAAATGGAAAGAAATTTTTTCCTATAAAAATTTCTTAAATCAATTTGCAGCTGTAACGGAAAAATTTGCCTGTATATTTACTTGTTCCAGAAAATGTACAGCAAATCAGGTATATTTTCAAGCAACAGAAATACTGCAAAATATTTATTGTGATTTTTGCTGAGAGCTGCAAACAGCCTTAAATTATTATTATTAATTATATTATATATTATTAAATAAAGCAAGACAATCCCCAATCCTTGTATACGAATTGCGAACTCAAGTCCTCACAAAGTTACCCCAGACATTAGTTAAAAACAATTCCAACAGAACGACATGAAAACCCTCGTTGTTGTTGTTGTTGTAGCGGCTACAACAACCCCGCCCAGATCGGTTGGTATCTCAGTCGTTGTCGTCAAGTTCCACTAACGGCAACCCTAGGAAGCGTGCAGCTTCTGTGGGATCTGTCCACAGGGACAGGGCCGTTAGGGTTGTCGGGTTTTCCGGGCATGCGAAGAGATGGTTCGAGTCATGTGGGGTCTCTCCGCATGCCGGACATTCGTTCGGCACATCCTCATTCAGCCTACTCAAGTAGGAGTTTAACCTGCTGCAGTAGCCGGAGCGAAGTTGAGCAAGTGTAGTACGTGTCTCCCGAGGCAGATGAAGCTCTGTCTCGTCAATGTCCGGGGGTGGTATGCCTAGAACGGCATTCACAGGTCTAGAGTCTACATAACTCGAGACTGAGTCCCTGTGAATGCCGTTCAGGGCCTGTCTGTACGCTGTCGGGTCCAGAGGTTGCTTAATGAACCTCTGGACTTCGTCCGTCAGTTCATATAGATGCCTCCTGACGTGCCTAGGCGAGGGCTCCTCTGCAAGCAGCTGTCTGTTTGGGTGGCCACTTCTGTGGCTCCCGATCAGGAACTGCTTGCAGAGCATTATGTTGTGCTCCTTAACTGGGAGCATTTGCGCCTCGCCGTGCAAGTGATGTTCTGGCGACATCCAGAGGCATCCCGTCGCTGTCCTAAGTGCCGTATTTTGTCCCGTCTGTAGCTTCGTCCACTGCGTCCTACTAGTCCCTGGCGACCACACTGGCGCTGCGTAGTTCAAAACCGGCCGGCCTATTGCCTTGTATGTTGCCAGCAACGTTTCTTTGTCTTTGCCCCAAGTACTGCCGGCTAGCGACTTGAGGACCTTGTTGCGGCTCTGTACTTTATTGACAATAGCGGTTGAGTGCGTAGAGAAGGAGAGCAGGCTGTCGAATGTTACTCCGAGTATTTTGGGGTTATTCACCGTCGGAATTGGTGCGTCATCGACGTGAATCCCCAGCGGTAGCCTGACCTCCTTCGTCCAGGTTGTGAACAGGGTCGCGGAGGATTTCGTAGGGGAGAGGGCTAGACACTTTGCAGTGGAGAAGCGAGAAAGTTCGGAGAGATAGCCGTTTACTTTCAAACACAGGTCATCAATTCCATTCCCAGTCGCCATGATCGAGCAGTCGTCGGCATAGGAGACAATCGAGACTCCCTCTGGTGGTTGAGGGAGCTTTGAAATATAAAAGTTAAACAGTAGCGGGGAAAGGACACCACCCTGAGGAACCCCCTGTTTTATTTTTCGCTGCTTACTCGTTTTGTCCCTAAATGTTACCGACGAATGTCGACCACTCAGATAATTTGCCGACCACCGTTTGAGCCTCTGTGGGAGAGAGGAGGCCTCTATATCTTCTAGCAGCGTGGAATGGCAGACGGTGTCAAACGCCTTTGACAAGTCCAACGCTACTAGAAGCGTTCTCTCACAGGGACGGTTGCGGTTAAGGCCACGAGTTATCTGAGTGTTTATGGCGTTAAGTGCTGTTGTTGTACTGTGCACTTTACGGAAACCATGCTGATGCTTCGCTGGGGTCAGGTGGTTTGTGAAGTACGGGAGTAGCAAGGCCTCAAGTGTCTTCGCTACCGGGGAAAGGAGTGTAATCGGACGATACGAATCTCCTTTGTTGGCGGGTTTCCCCGGTTTGAGCAGTGGGACCACTCTCCCCACCTTCCAGATGTCTGGGATAATGAGAGTGGCCATTGACAGGTTGAGGACCTCCGTTAGGTACGCTACCCCCGCAGGACCCAAATTTTTCAGCATCAGCATGCATATTCCGTCGGGACCCATGGCTTTGGAGGCTTTCGCCTTCCCGATGGCCACCTAAACTTCACCGCAAGTGAAAGCAAGGGGGGCACAATTTGTTGGCAGTTTGTGCAGCCTTCTGGTCACTCGACGCTTGGCTTTGTCTACCGGAGGATGCAGTATGAACTGCCGGCTAAAATAGCTCGCGCATCTCTCCGGGTCCGACGAAGCATGGTCGCCGAAGGAAATTTCGACTCTGTCTTCGTGCTTCGTCGGATTAGACAATGACCTCACGGTTGACCAAAGCTTGCTCACACCAGAGGTGAAATTACAAGTCTTCAGGTGCTCCTCCCACTTCTTCCGCTTATGTACGTTTACAAGTTGCCGAATCTCCGCGTTGAGATCCCTGATACGGGGATCTCCGGGATCGGCCTGACGAAGGCTATCACGCTCATCAGCTAGAACAGCCGCTTCGGCAGGGAGGTTTGGACGTGGGTCCGATATACATCCTGCCGGTATGAAGCGAGCTGCAGCAGCAGTGATAGCCCTGCGGAACTTACGTTCACCGAGGTGGACGTCGGTTGGTGTGGGGAGCGCTGCGAAGGTGTTTTCAGTAAACTCCGCGTAACCTTTCCAATCAGCTTTGGAAAAGTTGATATAGGTCCGGTGTTTGGCGGAGGCAAAGTCGGTTGG